CCACCCCCCCATCTCCAACATAACTAGAACAATGTGGACTGGAGGTTTGGCCCAAGAAGTAGAGCACTTTCTTTCCAAGTGTGAAGCCCTGAGTTCAAACCCCAGTCCCACCAAAAAAAGAGACTCTGAAAACTAAACAAAATCTTGGAAAAATCCAATCTTCACTGACACATAACGTGTTGCCGATAACTTTAGGTGGTCAGCCAACAGAGCATCTGATACCTAAAGACTCCCAGGTTAAAAAGTCCTGAGCAACTGCCACCTCCTGCTTCTATACGAGGAATCTGGGGTTCACAGACATCCAAGTGCTACCGACATCAAAACTAGAACCACAGGCAGGGCACAGTAGCGCACACCTGTAATCCCACGTACTTGGGAGGCTGAGATCAGGAGGATGATGGCTCAAAGTCAGCCTGGGCAAAAAGTTAGCAAGACCCCCCACCCCAATTAAAATAGCTGGGCACAGTGGCACGTGCCTATCATCCCAACTATGTGGAAAACTTAAAAGGAGGAAAGAGGTCCAGGCCAGCCTGGGCATAAATGCAAGACCCTATCTCAATACTAACCAAAGCAAAAAGTGGCTTAAGTGGTACAGTGACTGCCTAACAAGGGTGAGACTCTTTCAATCCCCAGTACTACCAAAAAAACAAACAATAAAAAAAACCCAAAAACCTAATGGTCCTCCTTCAGTCAAGCACATTGTTTACCTTTATGAGCTAAAACTGTACTCAGAGTTCTCTGCCCTGGATATAATCAATTGTACTACTGCACAGCGCTGTCTTTATAAGCCTTCTGATGACAATAATGTCTGTTAAAATGGCAAGAGGGGAAGTAAAGAAAAAGCCCAGAAATAGAAACAAATACTTGCACCATTATCATCTAGTCTATAAAAACTAACTGTCCTTTGCTGCTCACTCACAAGTATCCCGAGAGGCTGGTGCATGCTTGTCCTATGGTACTAACTGAGACCTGTATTTAGGAGACAAAAAGCCTGGTCCTAGACTTCAAAATCCAACCTTGACTGATTTGGAAAACAATTACCCAGAGATGACACCACAAGATGAAAGGTGGTGTGGACATTTACAGAGCAACAATTACAGAAGTCCCGCATGAACCCAGGGCCCCACCTGAGCACCCCCCAAGAGCAAGTCCACCAGGCTTATGGGTGGACATGACACCATCTATGTGTGACATCCCCGGGAAGGAACCAGAGTGAGAATGTGATGCAGACTTTGGTGCATTCTTCCACTGCAGGGGCTGAGAAGTAAGGGAAATGACATCCCAAGGAGGAAGGCAGAGGTGGGACATCCTGAAGACCAAGTGATGGGTCTTCAGCAAGGAAGGCCATGGAAAGGGGAGAGCGGATCAGAGTGCCATGGATTAAAACAGCTTAAGGAAACATACAACCAAGTACAACCATGCATGAACTACGTTTGGATCCTAATTCAAGCAAACATTTTGTAAACAATTGGGGATCATGGATACCTCGTATGAGGTGACACCAAAGACCTACTCACATTGCCAGTAGTACACGGGCAATGTGGCTATGTGAGAAGTTCTGATTATTCTCACACACATTAAGATATGTTGAAATAAAATTACTTAAGATCTAGAATGTGCTTAAGTTCAGCAATAACAACAACGACAAAAAAATGAACGCAACGAGGCAAATTGTCTAACTACTGGATTGGATGGGGGTGGAGGGCGATGGGTGTACAGATTCACACTCCTTTCTCTACATGTCTATTTGTTTAAAAATGTCCATGATTTGAAAAAAATAAAAAAAACTTTAAGCCCTATCTTTTGTAAGTCCTTCAAAAGATAAAATGGAAGGAAAGTTGTCTATTTTCTTGACTTACTCATTGGTGAGACAATGTTCTTGACAGACTCTCAACATGAGGAAAGAACTCAAAGGGACACCTCCTTCGAGAACTCTCAAACCTCGCTGCTCAGAATCACCTACAAAGCTTAGCAGAACTACCAAATTTTCCTAACCCACCTCAGAGCCAAACTCTCCAAGGAGAAGCCTGAGAACGGTAACTGTATCTAAGTGCAAGGTGATTCCGACCCAACCTGGCATGCTCCAGCTCTTGCAGCCCAGTCAGACAGTTGTCCTTGCCCTCGGGGACAAGGATCACACAGGATTCTGTGTTCCCATTGCTATGCCAAGCTTAACTGTGTTCTCTACTTTGAAACAAACAACAAAAAAGGAAACATAGAATGGCTAACTGAATGCATGTAATGTGCAAGGCTTCCATTCCTCATGGAATGTATTTCTTGCTGACATTTGCATGTTTTTAGTCATTTGTGTTGAGGCTGAATTTCAGAATGGGAGACTTCCAAGTAAAATTCCCTGGGAAAAAAAGCAAATGGAGCTGTAGAGTCCCAGGGGCTCTCACTGGGCAAAGTCTCAGGGGAATGGTTTCCCTCGTCTGCAGGGAGCCCAGGAGAAAACCCCTAGAGAACAGGCCAGAGCCCTGGACGTACCTGAGCATATCTGGGTACACCTGAGCACACTTGGCAATTGAGCCTCTCAGAACAGCAATCAGCTGGCCCCAGCACTACCCAAGGAAAAGATGAGAAAAGAAAACTTCACACCCCTAGCTTTGTTCTCACAGCCTCACAAACATTGGGAACAAACTCTCAGCCACAAAACTGACTGGCATTTTGTCAGAAGCGTGTCAATACAGGTCAAGGAATCTAGGAAACCAGGACTCAACATTTCACAAGATTAATAATCTCAAGTCCTTAAAACCACTCCCTTTCCACTGACGGTTATGTGTGTTTGTCCAGACTGACAACCAAGCACCCCTGGAACACATGACTCCCAGAAGGCAGTGCAGGGATGGGGGGGCGGGGATAGACGGAGATCCTCTAGGTGAGGGCTAACACACATCATCCAACACCAGATCGCCACTCCTGGGGCTGTTTTGCTGCAGGCTTCAGAGCTGGTCTTGGTTAACATTTCAGAGTATGCATTTGCTAAATTACTTTTAAGTGTGCTGACATTAAGTCAAACATGGAGACACAGGCATGCTGGAACTTGCAGGATTGTTTACCCCACAGTAAAAGCCCTGTTCATTACTTTATCAGTGCCATGCAGCTTTGGGGGTCCTGGTTGGCACTTTCTTCTCTACATTCTAACTCTGGAATTGCTTTTACAAACTTTCATTTCTTGCCTCACAAGAAATGAAACAGAAGCTTTTGATACCACAGCAGTCAACTTCTTCTAAGTTTCTAGAATCATCTTAAAGCACTCAATAGAGCCAGGTCCAAAGACTGGTCTCCCAAATGCCCTACCTGAGAAATGGAGAGACAGAGGGCTTTACTAACCAGAACTTTCCTCCCTCATTGAAAGTGGCACACTTTGTCATAGCTACATAAAAATAAGGACCCTGTGGAAGGAGGGGCCCAAAAGACTCATGAATATTCATATTTGCTCCCTCCAGCCAGGCATTATCTGCACCAGTGATCAAAGTCAAACTCCTCTGGTGACCAAGTCTTCCCTCTTCTCAGCCACTCCCAAGCCCCATGTCCCCACCCACATCTTAAACATAAACCTGGTGAACTAAATTTATAGACAAATGGGTCCAGTTTAAAGAAAGAGAAATATGGTTATTTTGTTTCCTTATTCATATTCTTCCATGTCAAAGACAGGTAGAAAGTTCTCAGGCACTGAGAAACATATTTCTGGACAGAGAAAAATTAATGATCCCACCCTTGCTCTGGGTGGTTTTGCACCCAAAGCTCAACTCAATAACCCTGAAAAGCAGAATAGCAGCCACACACAGCAATAACAAAGAAAGGATAGCTGGGGCCAGGCACGGTGGCTCACACCTGTAAGTCCCACTTCCTCAGGAGGCAGAAGCCTGGAGGACTGAGATCCAAGACCAGCTCAGGTAAAAAGTTCACCAGAGTGGGCACGATGGCAGGTGACTGTCATCCCAGCTATGCGGGAAGCACAAATAGGATAGTGGTCTAGGCTGCTCTTGGGCATATAAAGTGAGATTCCATCTCAAAAGTAACCAATGCACAAAGGGCAAGTGGAGTGGCTCAAGCATTAGCACCTAGCAAGTATGAGGCCCTGAGTTCAACTCCCAGTAACACACAAAAAAAAAAAGCAAAGCTGGAAGACACAATGACATAAAAAACTCTGTGGAGAGAAAGTTTCCTGGCAATTTATTTTAACTGTAGATGCTTTACTTCCAGAACTGTAAATTATATCACGGTTTTATTGCCTAGCTCTATCAGCAACTATCCGTAGTGTGCCTCTAACATTCCTTAAAAAAAAGTAAAGCAAAAGATTAAAACCATCCTCTCCTAACCAACCATGAAGGGTGAGCTAAGACTTTCAAGTCAAAAACCCAAACTTTTTAAAATCAATCTCTAATGGGAACCTTGCCCTGAGCCAATCTGTCAAACTCAGGGAGTTACAAAGTTGCCAAATACTTTACATACATGCACCAGATTACATAAAAGTCACCAGGCAACTCATGTCTCTGATTGGAGTTGTAGTATAAAAGTACACGCAAATATCCTTCCAAAGTCTATTCTTATCCATTTATTCCAGCACCCTGGAGAAGTTGTCTTTCTCCAATATTCACAAAGAAAATAAACGCCATTTGTCGCTAGCTCTAGGTGGCAGTTTTCATCCCGTGTAGACACCTTGCGGTTAATGGTTGCTCCTGGAATACAAATCTTTGTTTGAACTCTAAAACCAAAGTGGCAGATCCACATGGAGGGATGACACTGAGAACCTCTGATGTAAACCACTGTGGTGGATGGTGGGCAACCCTATCAGTACGAACCCTCAACGGAGCACAAATGCCTAGAGTCCATAACCTTAAAGAAAAGGAAGTTTTTCACAACTATCTACTGAGGTACGTAAAAGAAAACCCACTGGTAACCGTTACTTCAGTGTGGTCAATGCAAATTCCTTTTTAATGCAGAAAATTTTTAAATTAAAAATATATATTCGGTTCCAAACACAAGAGGCTTACCTGACTCCTCTCTTTATCCACTTTCTTAAAACACTTATTCAATGACAAATTATGTCTCACTGAGTTTTTCCACCCAGTAGGGGCATTCGCAAAATACGGGAAATGTTCCAAGATCCAGTTGTAGATATCCTTCACTGGCAGGCGCTTGGTTGGAGAGTCCTCGATGGCCATAAATATGAGGCAGCTAAAGGAGTAGGGGGGTTTGCAGTTGGGGTTCTGCCTGGCATCGTACGGCATGTCAGAGTGGGCAGGGGATGGAGGGGTGTCATCATCCAGGTCCTGGACGGGGCTGACACTCCTGAGGACCGACTCCCCAAAGCTCTTCAGCAAGTTCTTGCTCTCGTGCAGCCAGTTCAGGTTGGTCAGCTCTTCGTCTTCCATGGTCCCCTCTTCTAATCTGATGTCAGGCAGAGAAAAGTCGAGGTCATCGTCTTCCTGAAGGGCCTTGGAGAATCCGCTGCCCCGGTAACACTGACTCAGTCCACTGGACACACTGATTCCTGAGCTTTCGGGCTTCTTACTGGCAGGCATGACTGGACCCATTTATGTGAAGGCTCCTAGGAAAGACAATGAAAAGAGATAATAAGCTGGTAAAACCCAAAACAGCAAGGCAGCTTGGGCCCTCCTAATTCTCCTTCCCCCAGCCTCCTCTGTGGATCCCAGATACATCACAACGCATCTCATGACTCCCACATGGGCCACACAAGTCCACAATCCCACCACACAGAGATACCTGTAGAAGAAAAATCAGACCACCGTTTATATAACACAGTGACCTGATGTCCCTTAAATAAAACAACACTGAAAACAGATACAATGCCTTTCGTGTACAATTATGTCAGTAAAATTACCAATTTCAGAACTGGCGGAGTAGCTCAAGTGGTAGAGCACCTGTCTAGCAAGTGTGAGGCCCTGAGTTCAAACCCCAGTACTGACAAAAAAAAAAAGAGCAATTTCACAATGACTGCTCCACAGATCTCTGCACTCTCTCTGTGACCAGGAAAAATCAATTTCATTATGCCTTAGACTCCCTATTATTTGTGAATACATAACACGTAAAGTTCTCAAAAGTTTCATGATAAAGACTACAAAATATAAGCAACGCACAATTCCTGTGGTTTTGTGTTAGCAGTTTTCAAAAAAAAAAGAATATGCCAGCTAGGAGCTGGTGGCTCACGCCTATAATCCTAGCTACTCAGAAGGCAGAGATGAGGAGGATCAAGGTTCAAAGCCAGCCCAGGCAAATACTTCATGAGCCCCTGTGTCAAAAATACCCAACACAAAAAGGGCTGGCCAAGTGGCTCAAGTGGTAGCACACTTGGCTAGCAGGTGTGAGGCCCTGAGTTCAAACCTCAGTACCATTTTAAAAAAAATGCCAGCCAGACTGGTGGCTCATGCCTATAATCCCAGGCTGAGGCAAGAAGATCTTAAATTCAAGGCCAGTCTGGGCTACATAGGGAGAACCTGTCTTAAAAGTCAAAGAAAAGAAGAGAAAATGCCATCAATTAAAGGCCAATTATCTCCAATTACGTTTAGCAATTTCCAATTGAAGACTATCAGAAGGGGCTCAGAATAAAAACTGTGACCACAAGAGCCACTGATTTGGTTGCTATAGTTGGGTTTTTTCCCCCTGCCAAAGTCATAACCAAAAACTGCAACTTTAATTACATTTGGCAAGTCTAAAAAGGATGACAAGGAATTCTGTGGATCTGAACTTGAGGAAGAAGAACATTAAATTTTATTAGGACACTATATCCAGAATGAAAACTTCAGGCACTAGACAAATAAACGGAAATGAAAGATAAGACATTAACTAAAATTAGAATTGGCGAAAAGAAAGTCAGGAGAGTAACCGTAAGCTCCAAGCCAAGAGACCAACCCAACAAAAAGTGGTGCAGAATTCTACCCACCCCCCATAAGTCACCCCCATTTTTATCTAGGACCAAGAACAGAGAACAAAATATTTGATGAGAAAAGAAAATGAGGAGGGGGAAAATCCACAGACAGAACGACCCCTACAGATACAAACCACGTTCGACCCTCCAGCACTCAAGTAAGTGAACATGAAAAAAGTCTCATACTGTGTTTGTAGAGCTAAACCCCAATGTGCCTGGTTTAAGAAAAGTGTTTCTTTTTATTTTTTTCCCCTTGGAATAAGAAGATCAAGCAATCTACCTAGAAAAAAAAAAAAAAAGAACATATCAAAGGCAAAGACATGATCATTGTAAGCCCCTCAATGTCCATCAATACCATGTCTAAAACTGCCCCTTCAGCGCAGAAAGCTCCAGAATGGAATTCTAGAAAGCATGAGGTGGGCACCAAACAACCAGCCAAGGGGCCAGTGAACAGCAGCACTTCCCCTCTCAGTAAGTTAGACAAACACCCTGCAGGACAGAGGTGGGAGAGGCAGCACAGTTCAAACCCAGCCAGGAGAGTTCAGGTGCCTCCCATTCATCCACTCTGGTTTTCTTTCTCTCAAATAAGGAAGCTACTCTGCTTAATACAGGGCACATACTAAAGAAAAAATACTCATTATCATTAGGTTTTGGGGAGGATGCCAGGGTCCAGCCTGATAACTGCTTTTAACTTCTGTATGAAGGAACGAACCAAAGCTAGGCTTGGCTCAAAGTTTCTTAGATTTCATCAGAAAATGTTCCTATTACCAGGACATCCACATAGAAGAGCACAAGAGAAAACTACTCAGCCACTGAAGTCAACTTTAGCTCCAAATGAAAGTTTTATGTCTCCTGAGCTTCCAAACAGGAAAATTATATCATGGCTGACAGTAAAGTAATTTAATTGCACTGTTGCTATGACAACATGCTGCTCTCTTTCTTTTTAATTTGCTTATTTGTCAGTAGCTTCCCAAAGGAACTAACATGCTATTCTCCATGTTTTCTTTTGTTTTAAACAAACACTACCAGCAATGTGGTTATATGAGAAAAATTACATTGTCAAGAAAAGAGGATCTGGGGGGGTTCCATACCCTCTTGTCATGTGTCCCCCCACACTTCCAACTGTTAATGGCATCCCTATAAATCCTGCATTTCAAAGAAACAGGATGGAGGGTTGCTGACCACTATAGTTTCATGTCTGAAAAAAAAAAGTGGGGGGGGGAGCAGTTCCCAGAAACCACAGCTGAGCAGTTTTCCATTATTATACTCTAGCTACATAATTCGCCAAACCTTTTTTTCCTCTTATTTTAGAGGGGAAAAAAATTTGGATCATGTAAGCCAGCCTGCAGTTAAGCAAGCATTTTTTAAAATCTGATGCCAATAAGGTTGCTCTACCAGCTACGCAAATAGTTACTCACTGGTGACCTGCTTCCAACTTCACACACCTCTTTTTTTTTTTTTTAATGACTTTCTGTGTTTGTTTGTTTCCTTTTAAACGGATGGAATGCGCCAGGAAAGCTTAAATTCTTGCCTCGTATCAGAATGTCTCAAATAACTGACAAAGACGTTACGGCCCAGCTCTGAACAGATGTTCAATACGAACTATGAGAAGTTGAGAAATCTTCCCCAAGCGGAGCTGGGCAGTCTGGAGTTTGGGGGAAGCTGAGAACCTCCCCCCGCCCCCCGCTCTCCCCACCACCACCACTACTCCTTGCGCGCGCATGCACGCACGCGCTTCCACTCTGTCTACTGTACTTGTCAAAAACATTTCAAGGGGACCAGCGAGAGCGGCGATTGGCTGCATCCCGCGTCAATCAGTGGCGTTGCTAGGCAACGGGGAAACTGCTCTTCTCCGCGTATACAGGGCAATTGGGAGCTTGCATACCTTCACTGCCGGTCAGATGTCATAAACCTTTTACTGGCCGCACCGCGGCGAGCCTTAAAAACAAATCAATAAAAGCCCGCCGTCCCCCAACTCATCTGGAGCCCAAGAAGGGTTTCAAATAGACGGGGTGAGGAGGGGTCGGGCCTCGGGGGTCTCGGGAGACGTTCACTGCCGGTGCCAAGCTTGCACAGTTTGGGGGGGCAGATCTTTGTTAGGAGCCTGTTTCTCATCTTGGGGTCTCTACTTGATCGGCACCCCCTCCTAGACCCAGAACGTCGGGGATCCAGTGCTCTGCAGACAATACCAACTCTGTTCCTCTAGGGTGTCTTTTCGGAAACCGAGGCACCGGGAAATAGCTCGCACGTCGGGGCAGGAAACTCTTCGGCCCGGGGAACTTCCCCTCTCTAGGACTCCGGTCTCCCCGCCCAGCCAGGCCCCCCTGCCCGGTCCTCGTCCAGAACTGCAGAGTCCTTCGTTTTCCTCGGGCGGCGAGGTTGGCTCTGGGGCCGCCCCGGACCGGTTCCCCCGCCCGTGTCCCCCAAGCCCGCTCGGGCGCCGACAGAGCGGGGCGCAAACTCACCTGGCCGGAGCGGGGCGCGGGGGCGCGAGAACGCCGCTGCCCTTCAGGGAAGCCGACAAACTTTCGCGGGCGCCCAGCGGGCATCGCTTGGTGGCCCTGCTCAGGACGCGCGGGCGCGGCGCGGCAAGCCCGGGGCGGCGGGCGGCGGGGGGCGGCCGCGGGCGCGGGCGGCAGGGGCGCGGGGGTCGCGGCGCGACATGGGACCTGCGGCGTCCGCCGGGCGCGCCGCGCGTCCTCCCGCCGGCCCCGCCGCTCTCCCCGCCCCGTCCCGCCTCCCGCTCGCCTCCGCCGCGGCGCGTCGGGCCGGGGCGCGCCGAGCGGCTAGAAATTGTTTCCACTGCAAACAAAAAAAGGCGACACATGACCAGGCAGGAGGAGGGGAAGCGCGGGGAGGGAGGAGAGCGGAGGGGAGGGACGGAGCGGAGGGGGCGGGGGGAGCTGGAGAGAGGGAAAACGTGGGCCGGGCCGGCGGCGGCCTGGGACTCTGGCGCGGACCCGCCGGGGCGACCCTGGTTCGTGGCCCCGCGCCCTGGCGCTCCCCAGGCTCAGCCTGGACCTGGGCCGCGCGCCTCATCTCCTGCTACACGGCGGGACGGAGGTGGCCGGCGTGGGCCTGCGATTGGGGCAGGCGGGGCGGGCGGCGCGTGGCCTGTCCCCTCCCTGCTCTGGCCACTCGGGCGGGCTGGCGCTGCGCTGTTGGCAACGTGTCGCCGGAACGCTCTTACCCCATCCACATGCCTTACAAGGCTCGAAAGTAAAAATAAAAAGAATTATGATGCGAGCGAGGCTTCCGAGGGTGAAGAGAGGAGATTCCACTTACCCCCAACTGCTGAGAGGATGCAGCACCCCAGGGACCTTGTGAGCCCTCCTCCAGCGCCCAGCCCGGAGGAAAGGCACTCCAAGCCTCCAGCCCAGGTGGCTGAACAGCGCGATGGTGGCCATTACAGAGCAAGAGGGGCCCCTAAAGGCCATGCCGGTGGGGCCTTTCCAGTGGGTTGTACCCCACTCCCCAGCTGGCGTCTAAGCCAGAAGCACAAACAAGTCTCTCCTTCACATTTGAGCTCCCATGAACTGGACTGACAATTTGCAAGCCACCCAGGGAATGGGGCAGCCACTTTTTCAAGTCTCCAGGTACCTCCGGAGAATGGCCACTCACTGCTAAATGCCACACCAAGCAGCTGCATTTGGAGAGGATGG